CACCACTTCGGAGGCTCCGGTTTTTATTTTCAACAGCGCCCCTGGCCGCGCAGCACCTCCGAGTTTTGCTTGTGGCGACAAAAACTTTCTGCAAGGCTGGGGCTGTGTACTAGCGGTTTAAGCGAACCTCAAAAGAAAAAGTATACCACAAGTATAGAAACCTTATCTGCAGAACTATAGGAACCATAATTATAGAATGATTGGAACCTTATTTGCACAAGAATAGGAAACTTGGTTAAATCTTTTTTCTCCTGTCCAGATCCTTATCTGCAGAACTATAGGAACTTAACCTTAGCTGCAGAGCTATAGGAACCTTAACCTTATCTGCAGAGCTATAGGAACCTTAACCTTATCTGCAGAGCTATAGGAACCTTATCTGCAGAGCTATAGCAAACTTATCTGCAGAGCTATAGGAACCTTAAACCACCAGTACACGGCCCCAGGCATGCAGCAAAAAAACTTGTTGCCACAAGAGACAAAATAGAAGGTTGGGGCAGGGTCGGAGTGGCGGAGGCCTTCACAACCACCTGGGCCCGCGCGGGCCCACCGACGGACATGTTTTTGTCCGTGGCTGGCAGTAAGGCCTGTAGGCCTTCCGCAATTATAACTGGGACTTCTTAGGATGCATGTTGAAGGTTTTCGAGGGAAGTACTGGTGTGCTCTGTTTTCCGCTTATGAAGAACCAGAAGGAGGAGGTTAACGCCAAGACCAAATTCCAGAGTATCCAAGATTACGTTTCGTTCACGAGCAGGCAGCAAAAGATTCCTTTCTGCACAGAGCGAAGGCTTATCTGTCGGTCGAGAATCTGGTTTTTCCCTTCTTGTTCACCCTTAAGAATGAGTTATGGAAGCGAGGTTATCCGGACGAATTTTTTGACAATACGTTAGTCAACTTCTCAAGGAAGTTTGGTGGCTTATGGAAGGAGTGGGTCCCGGTGCTCACAGGGTGGGGCCGTCTGTTTTAAGGAACTTGGGGTCAGGGTTGCCCGCATTAGGGACCGTGTTCGGCTTTTTCGGGGGGTTCTTAGGATGTTTCCCTTTGGGTAGGTCTTTTTTTAGGATTCGTACTTGGTACCCGCAGTTTGGAAGTAGCAGATTACTATTGGGGGGTACTAAGGATTCGAACCTGGTACTTACAGTTTGGAGACTACTGCACTGATTGTTGCACTTGGTCTGGGTTGCGACGGGTAGAACTTGAGACTTGTAGCTTCTATGGTTTCATGTGACTTTGGGTATTTCGGAACGATGGCTTGATCTGTGTACTTGCGGCTTGAGTTGTGACGGTTTTTTTGTACTTGGCTTGGGTTGCGACAGTTTCATCTCGGGATTTGTAGTTCATAGCCTCGATGGTTTCGTGCGACTTTGGGTACCTTGTTGAGGAACGGTGGCTTGATCTGGGTACTTGCGGTTTTTTGTGATCGGTAAGGCTGACGGTTCGGGTATTGAGAGTAAGTTGATAATTCTGCGGCAGTGAGTTTCAATCTCTGGACTGATAGACCGGTAGCCGTCATTTGGACGAATGGTTAGTATAGGCTGTACGGTGCTTCGATCTGGGAACTTTTTTGGGGACGGGTTAACGCGGCGATGTCTGTAAGTCAAGCGCAGTATTGATGGATGGAGTAGTCGGTGTAGATGTCACTATTAATACAGTAGTCCAACTAGAGTTCATCAAACCGCTGATGAGTCCTGGCAGGCGGCCAGGCGAAACCGGTCGGGTCGCTACTGCCTAGCGGAAGCTTGTCTTCGTTTTGTGCTTCATGATTTATCTATTCAAGTCGTGTTCGGGAACTCCAGTGTCTATTTTTCCTACTTCTTCTTCCTTCCTCTTCCTACCCTCTATGCCTGGTGGGCTCCTTCTCCTCTGCCTACCCTCGGTTTGGTTCAGTGGTTGTTGTCTTGCTTATGCCTCTGTGTGTGGGTACTTGTTAACTCCATCTGCTGTGTCCTTGTTGACATACTTCCGCAATACGAATATCGAAACAAAAAAAAAGAATCGTACGCCGAGGCAGACACCGTCTCCCCCCTGAGAGCGTCGCCACACCACTCTCGAAATGTGAAAAAGACAAAAATGGGGTGGGTGCACCTGGCCATGTTCTAGCAGGAAGTTCATTGTCATTTTGCACGTTTCGAGAGTGGTGTGGCGATGCCCTCAGGTGGGAGAAGGTGTCTGCCTTTTGGTTGTACGGAAGGTACACGCACAACGGGAGGGCCTGCTGGGATTCGTCCCTACCGGGAAATTCTATCGACATTTCATAGTTGTTGTCTACGACTCGGGCTTGTGGCTGCTGTCCACATGGCAGAGTTGAAATGTTGCAGCCGTCGTGGGCTGCCGCGCATGTGCAACATTGCCCATGCAAAGGAAACTTCCTGCAGGCGTCTTCTTCTTCGTCAACAGTCTCTCTCTCTCTCTCTCTCTCTCTCTCTCTCTCTCTCTCTCTCTCTCTCTCTCTCTCTCTCTCTCTCTCTCTCTCTCTCTCTCTCTCT